CCGCGGGCTGGGCCCCTCGCTCCTCCTCTCAGGCCCACGGGCGCCGGGCGCTCGCTCGCTCCCCTCCCTCCTCCTCCTCCTCGCGCCTCGCGCTCTCACACCTCGCGGGCACGCGGGCGAGCCGCGCCGCCATGCGCGCCCAGACCCAGGCTGCACACTGGCCTAGGCGCGGCGGCCCGAGATAGGGTCCCCTGAGCCTCCCGGGGGAGGAGAGGAGCCAGCCGCGCGCTCCGCCCCCTCCCCCCGGGTTGCCGGCGCCGCCACCGCCACCGCCACCTCGCCGCCTCAAGCCTGGCGGGGAGGAGGAGGAGGAGGAGGAGGAGCAGCAGCAGGCCTCCGGACCCCCGCACCGCCGCCCGCAGGTAACGGGGAGGGAGGGGAGGGCCCGCGGGGGAGGGGGGGAGAAGGGAGGGTGAGACGACGGGCCAGCCCCGGGGACTGACACCACGCGTCGCCCACCTGGACCCGGGGCGGGGTTGGGGGGGTGGGTGGCGGGAATGGAAACCTGGTTTGTCCCCCCGATTGGTGCGGGGGAAACACCCCACCGGGTCCCCTCATTGGCATTTAATCCGGGGCGGGAGGGGTGCTGGCGTTGGTCCCTGCGGACCCCAAGTAGTCACCCGGATCTTCCAGAGGAGCAGATTTGCAAGACAATCCGCCCCACACTGAATCCGACGCAGGCGAGGTGTTTATACCCGCTCACCTGGTCTCCCCGCGAGCCCTAGACCTGTTATTCCCTCCTCTTCCCGGCTGCTTGCCTCCCCCGCCCCTGGTATTAGAACGGCACTTTTCTTTTAAAAGAAAAGAGGAAGCGAATGCAAACACCTCTTATCCTCCCCCCCACCTACCTGAGGATCTCTCTGTGTCTGGTCATTTTACTGTCGGCCTAACAAAAAGAAAGGGGTTACCTGCAGGTGAAATGACAACTAAGTTATAACTGATTAAAGGAAATTGTATCTGTTTGATTTTTGTAAGCCTTAACCAGAATCTTTTGTAAACTGCGATGTTCGTGTACTTTCTAGTAACTTACAGAATTTAAGACTAGAACTTATTTTTTTAAATATGTAAGCATACTAATCTGCTGAGTGTGTTTATCGGAAAAATTCTTAACTTCCGTTTATTAGCATTTTGATAAGGATTTGATACTTGCTTTTGCTTTTTTGGTAATTCTTGGTTGAAAAGTACTATATAGATCTTGATTTCTTTTCCTCTCATTCACTTTGATTTCCTGTTGATTTATAATATTCATTTGTGTCCTTTGTAGTTTTCCACGTGGACTGTAAAAATGAGTGTTTTCTTAATACTTTGTATTTTATGATTTGTATTTATTAATTACGAAGACCAGATTTATTTTGTGCAACAGTGTTTTGCTTTTTATATATGTAGTCTTAGTCTCAGAACATTTGAATTTTATAGAAGGGACAGAAACTTAGTAACATTAATTGGAACTTGTCCTAGGTTATGCAAGTGGTAAGTTGACAATTAAACCCAGTGTCTTTCTGCTGTACTTCTCAGTTGTGATATAATTTCTCTTATGGCCTGAAAGTTTTCAGTTTTACAGAAGTTGTCCAGAAAATACAGTGACCGTATTAGTACCAGATTCGGTGATGAATGTTTTTTCCTGTATTGTTGCCTGTTTTGTTGCTGTTGTTGAGACACTGTGTCTCCTCTTAAGTGCTGGAATTAGATTTCTTCCTCCACCACCATGTTTGATTCTTAAATATTTCCTAAAAATACCAAGTCAGTAACAAGTGCCCATCAAAATTTTTGTATTCAAATTTCCTAAGTAATCCCGAAGTATCTCCACAGCTGTAGTCAATCAAGAGTCCTGTATTGCATTTATTTGGTGATTACGTGTATTTAGTCATGCCTTTGTTATAAAGGGTAGTACCTAGACTGTCTCCTTTTGGGGGGGGGGTACTTACCTGACCAAACCAGTTGTTTTGTAGAGCTTTTGAGCCTTGACCTTGTCCTCTGAGAGTCATTTCATTTTAAGTGAAAGTTTGGTTCCAGACCTGTCTGTGGTTGCATAAGGCCAAGGATATCTATGAATACAGCTCAACACAAAGTTGTAAACTGAAAATATTAGGTTTTTGTGTGTGTGACTTGATTGTACGGTTCCTTCGAGAACTGTAGATAATAGTGCTGTCTTGTTAAAAGATTGGGCATCCCTGGAACAAAGATTTAATTAGCTTAAAGTGAAACCCTCTTTGGCAAGAATACTTAAATAGGTGATGCCCTGCACTTTGTATTGTATGTATTAGGAAGTTGATAGTGTCGGAACACCACACAGTTGATGATGTTCAATATGACCGCTTGATCAAAGTGATGGCCGCAAGGTCTTTTGTGAAGGCATGGTTTGACAGTTTGACCATACGTGGCCTTAAGGTAGTAAATCTGACAGGAAGCAGGGAACTTGTTTCTGACTAGACTTCCCTTTGTGATTTTTAGCTCTCAATCAGTTATTTTATTGAAGAGTCTTTGAAAAATTGAAATTTTTTTTATTGGATGTGAACCAAATTTCTTCCTAAAAATGCAGATTAAATGCTTGATTTTATCACCTTAATTATTGATTTTTAGAATAGGGAGCTAGGGAAATTGTTATCCTAATGAGCAAATTGAGTTTTTTTGTTTGTTTGTTTTTTTCATTTTAAGGGGGTTATGATAACCATTACGGACTTGAGATTTGAGGAGATAGTACCACCAGGGAGTTTATTTATTTTACAACCAATTAGGATCCTATTTGAGGGCCACATTTCACCAGTTTTGACATAGGAATGTTTTCAAACTAGCCATAGTGTCTTTTGACACTTAGGCTCGCCTCTGTCTTGGAGCACTTTCTGGTACAAAGTACCCTAGGCTGCTTTTGCTAGGCCATCTGGAAAGGGCTGTTTACCCAAGGAGTCATGGTCATTTCAATGAGAAATGTATATATATGTGTGTGTGTGTGTGTGTGTGTGTGTGTGTGTGTGTGTGTGTGTGTGTATGTATGTATGTATGTATGTATGTATGTATGTATGTATGTATAAAGATCTGAAAGTTTGACATAATCATTGCTACCAGAGTATTACTGTTTCTAGACTTGTTTGAAAGGATAGAACTAAGAACTTATTTACATAGACAGAGTCTCACCATATAGCCCTGGCTGCTCTGGAACTCACAGGAATCCTACTTCTGCCTCTCAGGTGCCGGGATTAAAGGTGTGGGCCACCACACCCAGCCATTTTGCATTTGTTTAATCATGAGTTCATAGTGATATGTCCAATTCAAATTAGCAGGACAGACTTTCTCATCTTTGATTCTACTTTTGTCAAAAATGAAGATCTTGCTAACTAAAGTTTGTTTGCTTGCTTTCTGCTCTATTTAAATCATTTAAAAATTGCAATATCAATACTGATTCTTAAAAATTGGATATATATATAATTCTTTTTTTAAAATTTAAACATTTATATGTGTATAGATGTTTTGCCTGCATATGTGTCTGTGTACCATATGTGTACCTGCTGCCCTCAGATGCTGAAAGAGGGTGTTGGAACCCCTGGAACTAGAGTTACAATTGGTTGTGAGCTGCCATGCCAGTGCTGGAAACTGAACCTGGGTTCTCTGCATAGAAGCAAGTACTCTTAATTGCTAAGTTGTCTCTCTGGCTCCAGGATTTTAGTTTTGAATGTATAAAATATATACATTGTTCAAAATAATGTTGCAAAAACTATGCCTTTAAAAACTTCACTTAGGGGGCTGGAGAGATGGCTCAGCAGGTAAGAGCACTGACTGCCCTTCCAGAGGACCTGGGTTCAATTCCCAGCACCCACGTGGCAACTCATAACTGTCTGTAACTCCCAAGATCTGACACATAAAATAAAAATAATGTCTCAACACACACACACACACACACACACACACACACACAAAAAAAACAAACAAACAAACAAAAAAAACACGGGCGGCACACGCCTTTAATCCCAGCACTCGGGAGGCAGAGTCAGGAGGATCTCTGTGAGTTTGAGGCCAGCCTGGGCTACAGAGTGAGTTCCAGGACAGGCTCCAAAGCTATACAGAGAAACCCTGTCTCGAAAAACAAAAAACAAAACAAAACAAAACAACAAAAAAAAAAACAACACCAAAAACTTCACTTAAGGGCCTAGATTGAGGCCCCAGTACTGTCAGAAATCAAAACCAAAACCTTGGCTCAAGTGCTAGAGGGTTAGCAGAAGAGTAGGCTGAAGCCAGATAATACTACTTTTAAGTTTTACAATTATATTCAGATGCCTTTGGCTAGTCTTTGGAAATTTGCAGAGAAGTAGATGTGAAGCTTGCTTTTGCAGGTGTCATATTTTAAGTAATAATTCGTGAAAGAAAAACTGCAACTATTACTTGAAAAATCTTGTTCTGGGGAATGGAGAAAGTACCTGCCATAGCAAGCATGAAGGCTTAGGTTGAGATTCTTAGTGCCAGTGTGAGGAGGGGTGGGAGCCCCGGATTTGGGGTGTGGGTAGAGGTAGCAGGATCCTGAGATTTGCTAGACAGTCTAGGCAATAGATGATCTCCAGGAAAGTGATTGAGGAAGACAGGAGACTTTGACCTTGTACCTTCCTTAACCCTACCCAAATCATCTTTAAAGATGAATGTAATTGATAAAGGTTTTATGAATAATTGCTTTTATACTACACAACAAAATTGGCACCCATGTGCTGTCTGCAGATATAAAAGCCATTTGGACACATCATCAGTGAAGATACTACATTTTTATTTGTATTAGATAAATTTAATAACAATTCATAATTATGTGGTCTGAAATACTGTGTTCACATGGTTTTCAGAGGAGCGTGATTGTCTAAAGTAGGTGTGCACAGTATGCAGCAACTGTAGTCTACAGTGGTAGGTAGGCTGTGGGGGCTAGTAAGATTGTAATCACTAGCAGTTGTTGCACTTTTCCTATGCTAAATATTTTGTGAATTATCGAAGTTTGTGGAGGCCCACAGAGGCCCTCTAGTGAGTCCTTCTCAAGGTCAGAGAATCTGAGCTTGCTTTACCCAGCAGGGCTACATAATGGGGTGATTTGACCACAGATGTGGTTACCAGGCAGGTGTTTGGAAGGGTCTACACTTGGCTGTACAGTGTGCTTTGATCTTGCAAGGGAGAGGTCTTTGGCCTCTCCCTTTGGCAAATTATAAAAAAACCCTTTTGAATAAACGAAGGGGCTGTTGGGTATTGACCCAGGGCCTTCCGAAGCTATCCTGTGTTTCTGTCTTCTCATCGTCTAGGTCTTTCTTTCTGATATTTTCTTTCTGATATTCTTTCCTCTACCTAAGAATTCTTTGAAAGGTGGGAACAGGTTGGAGCTGGACTCTCCACAGACTCT